GAGATGGCAAAGGGACACGCAGTGGAGCAGTGGAGTGACGCAGTGCCATCTAGTGCGTGCCTGGGACCGTAGGAGGACGCTGACGCGGAACACGACGACCAGTGCGAGCAGCACGAACAGGCGACGCAGGACGAGACGCAGGCTCACGACGATTAGCAAGACCTCCAGTAGGACCAGTGTAAGGAGAAGGAGCAGGTAGTGGGGTGGCGGGCTGTAACTGTGACTCGGACTGGATAGGCAGTGGACACTCTAAGGAAGGAGCAGGATCAGTAGAGGGCGGAAGACCAAGAACATGCGCAAGGAGCGGAACGAGGTACGGCCGTGGCCGCTCAGCACCTCAAGAACCAGCAGGGACAGCACCAGCACCCCCAGGGTCGGTTCCGACTCCAGCAGCTCTACCAGCTCCAGGAGTAGCAACGCCAACCTCCACAGGAGCACTGGCTCCAGCAGCACCTCCAGCTCCAGCACCTCCAGCAGCTACAGCTCCAGCAGGACCACTGGAAGACTCACCAGCTCCAGCTCCAGCATCTCCAGTAGCACCCACTCTAGCAGCAACGCCAGCTCCAGCACCGCCAGCAGCTCCAGCACGAGGAGCACCCCTAGCCCCAGCAGCTCCAATACCTCCAGTACGAGCACCTCCGGGACCCGTGTCTCCAGCACCCCTAGCAGCAGTAGAACCTTCAGCTCCGGCAGCATGGCTCCAGCGCCGAGCAAACCACTCGCGCAGCTCCTCTGGAGAGAGTAGCTCCCGCCGGGACGAAGCACCCGAAGGACCGCGAGGCCCAGCACCGCCAGACTCAGCACCCTTAGGCTTAGCACCGCTAGACTCCAAACGAGCAGGCCCAGGACCCTCAGGCTCAGCACCCCCAGACTCAGCAACCCCAAGCTCCGCACCCCCAGGCTCAGCACCTCCAGACCCCGCACCCACAAGCTCAGCACCCCTTGCAGCACCAGAGTCAACTGCTACCTCGACAGGCTCGACTGCCTCTACCTTGGACACACCTGAGGGGGCAGGACCCGGAGGGGGAAGGGGGTCTACCAGGGGGGGGACTGGCGCGAGGAAGAGCGGCGGCGAGGGGAGGGGTGCAGTGCGGTAGGGGAAGAGACGGTAGTAAGGAACCGACTCGTCAAGCGTGACGTCCTGGAAGGACAGAACACGGCGCAAGGTGGGGTGGTAAAACCGCCACCCAAGCGCGTCAGGGGGGAAGCCAAGGAAGACGCAGGGAACAGCACGGGGGGACAGCTTGTCCGCAGACATGTCGCGGACAAAAGTCCGAGATCCCCAGACACGGAACGCAGACGCATCACCAACCTTCCCCGTCCACCGCAGAGTAGGGGAGGTCTCCGGCAAGGAGACCCTGGGGTGAAGGTTGATCTGATGCGCCGCGTACTGAACCGCGAACGGCTACAGAAAATGGGGAGCAGCCGCATGGATCATGGACGCACGAGCGACGTCCATGGCCATGCCAATGCGGCGCTCAGCAATCCCATTTTGTTGTTGAGAGGCGGAAAGCGTGAACGTCTAGCGGATGTCTCGTGCACGACAGAAGGCTCGCAGAAGTTCGGAGGAAAACTCTCCACCTCTGTCGGAGTGCAGACGCAGAACAGGAAAGTCCGAGCCGAAACGGTCTCTGAGCTGGAGACGGGCAGCGCGGATCCAGTTGATCAACACCTCAGTCACCTCACCCTTGCTGCGCAAGGGGAAGACTGTGGTGTAACGCGAGTAGTCGTCAACCACCAGCAGGAACTAACGCTCGTGACCCTGTCCACGGACGCGGGCTGAGCCCCACACGTCCATGTGAAGCGTCTGCAGCGGAGCCTCTGTCGGAGGAAACTCGGAGGAGTGAGGAGCGGCGCGCTGCCGCCCCTCGACGCAGGAAACGCAGGTAGGGGCAGGCCCCAGGGGAAGGGGAGGGAGGGACCGGGGGAGACCAGAGACAAGGGCACGGGAGGCCATGCCTCAGAGACGAGGCAGGGAGGGGTGACCAAGGCGGTGGTGCCAGAGGAGAGTCTGGTGGGACAGGAGACGCCACGAGCAGGGGGCAGAATCAGGACCAGACCTGGACGCTGCAGCAAATACCTCACCTGACGCAGCTACCTGACCAGACGTAGGAACCAGAGGAGACTCGGTAGTCAGTGTATACAGGCTCGACCCCGGCTGACGGGTAAACGTGGCCAAGTGTCGGCCCGTTCGAGCACACGTACAGTGGGTCACTCCCTGACTCGCAGGAGTGAACTGGTCAACCCCCCCATCCTGTAGGTCAGCACCACTCACCAAGTTCGTAGAGAACGAGGGGAGGTAAAGACCTGACAGGGTGCCAGAAGGGGCCGCCGGATACAGTAGGACAGTGGAGAAGTGGGCAAGGATGCGACCCCTAGAGGGGTCTGCCAGGAAGACTGCAACCGGCCGACTAAGCGGCGTGAGTGTGGTGCGGTCTCGAAAGAAGGAGCGGGAAGCACCCGAGTCAAGAGTGAAGGTGTGCAACACCTGAGCCGACGTGGTAACTGAGAGAGCAGACTCACCAGCACCTGGAGCAGCAGACTCACCAGCACCTGGAGCAGCAGACTCACTAGCACCTAGAGCAGCAGCCTCAATGCTCGGGTCAGGCGGCACACACAAGTAACAGTCACCCTCGTCCATGTAGACACAACATACATGGCAGCAAGAATAACATCATAATCAAGATCAAAGATAGCAACCCCCGACCTAAGCAGCTCGCCCCAGCGAGGGATCTCAGTGGCGTCAGGGAACTGGAGACGCCAGGCGTCCGTCACGCGGCCGAAGCAGCGCTGGGTGGCTCGTGGGCCGCCGCACGGCTCACCAGTGCGGTCGCCGGTACGCTAGACGTAGGCACAAGGACCAGCTGGCTGACGCGCAGCGTACCACTCACGAAGCTGCTGGGGGGGAGGGGTCTCACGAGCGCGCTGCTGCTGCTGGCGCTGACCACCACCGAAGTCTCCCCGCTGCACAGAGCCACCCCGACCAGCTCCACCGCCGCTGCCGCCACCGCCGCCACCGCCGCCTCCTCCGCTCCCACCGCCACCGCCGCCTACGCCTCCGCCTCCACCGCCGCCACCTAAGCCCCCACCCCCGTCACCACTCCCACCACCACCCCCACCCCCTCCGCCGCCTCCACCACCACCACCACCGCCCCCGCCAGCTCCTCCAGCGCCCTTGCCCCCTTTGCCCTTGCTGTTGCGGCGTCTCCCGCTAGGGGCAGACGCAGCGCCGACCAACTCGGTGCCAACGAGGTCGACAGCAGCAGTAGAGGCAACAGAGGGCAAAAGGGGAACGGGGGAGCACCCCTCAAAGAAGGGGGTATGAGGGTCACCATGAGAGGCTCCTACAGCGACTATACTCTTCTCAGCTGCAAGGAGGCGCTCCTCGAGGAGGTCAACGGTGAGTGTGGTGGGGCAAACAGAGAGGAAGTGGTCCCTGACCGAGCGAAGGGAGTCAGGGAGCCGGGTGACTAGGTAGTAGAGGGTGATGTACATGGGGGGGGGGGGGGTTCTTGGCGCAGAACTAAGCAGGAAGCGTAGCGCGGTAGCGGGTGTCACTAGTGCGGAGGTGCGTAATGAGGTCAGCGACTGTGGGAAAGGCGGCGAGGTCAAGGAATAGGTACGGCAGCATGAGGCGACTAATGGCAGCAGTGGCAGGGGAAGAGTAGCGTGCAACTACAGCGTCGTACAAGGTCTTAGCACTCTTGTACTGACTAAAGTGCGCGTGCTCAGTGGACGGCAAGTGACTACGCACAGCAAGACGGGCAGCAGCATCGCGTGTGGCCCACTATGAGCGAACAGTATTGTCAGCATCGGCAGTAGGGGCAGCAGAGGCGCCAGACGTGAGATCGAATAGTGAGAGACCGTCTTTTCTATCGCACTGCAGGAAAAGCTGCAGATCATCGACCCAGACCTCAAAGTCGACAGCCCGACCCTCAGCATCAAAGGTGAGCACATTGGGGGTAGCCATGACAGCAGCAGCAGCAGGCTAGCAGTAGCAGCGGCAGCTTGACTCGGCTAAAGGGGCGCGGCTCGGCATGGGCACTTACCAGTGGCGAGTGGGTAGGGTGGCCGCGATCGGAGCGGCAGGGCCGAGGTGCGCAGGCAGGGTCGGGGCCGCAACTGGGCAGCAGGGTAGGGCCGTGGCTCGGCTGCAGGTCAGGGCCGAGGCAGCAAGGACCGCAGCAGCGGCGGCGGCGCGCGACACCAGCAGGGCCGGCAGCTGCTGTGGCGGCAGGGACGGCGACGGCAGCTGCTGCAGGGACGGCCGCTGCTGCAGGAACAGGGACGACGGGGCGGGAGGGCCGCTACAGCGGCAGCAGGGGTGACGGCAGCTGCTGGTGAGGCGGCGACGACGGGGCGGCAGGGCGGCTACGGTGGGCCGCGAAGAGCCGCGAAGGGGGGAGGGGGGGGCCGCAAAAGCACCGCCAAGGGGCCCAAAGGGGCCGCGAAGGGCCGCAAAGGGGCCGAGAAGGTGCCGCGAAGGGCCGAGAAGGGGTCGCGAAGGGCCGCGAAGGGGCCGAGAAGGGGCCGCGAAGGGCCGAGAGGGGGCCGCAAAGGGCCGTGAGGGGGCCGCGAAGGGGTCGCGAAGGGCCTTAAGAGGGGCCGCGAGGGGCCGCGAAGGGGTCACGACAGTGCCGCGAAGGGGCCGCGACGGGGCCGCTAAGGAGGGCCGCGACGGGGCCGCTAAAGGGGCCGCGAAGGGGCCGCTAAGGGGCCGTGAAGGGGCAGGCCACTAAGTGGCCGCGAAATTTTAGGGCAGGACATGAAGGCAGGCTAAAAAAAAAATTTCGAAGGTGGGCCCTTAGGAAGAAACGGTCCCACTAGGGAATCCGCTCTGATACCATGTGAAGAATGAGGAATGATTGAACTAGGAAAATGTTGGATACAAATATGAAACCCTAGAAACTTGTATCCCTTAGTGTCTACCCCACTATAGCCTAGAAAGACTAAGTCATATATATCTGACAAAACCAACGTCAGTTCCGCCCTCTCGCACAATGATCCCGCGGGACCTCCTCTCACGGCCTCGCCTCGTCGTCCGTCGTGTCGCCTCACGACGCTGCCTCCTCACGCCACCGTGAACGCGTACGACTCGTCTTAAACTGCCGAACACGCACGATCACAGGCGCGGCCCGATCGCGCAGCCTCGCTACGACGTTTCCGCACTAGCCCCGGCAGCCGCACTTGAGTGCGCGAACGACTGCAGAAACGGGAGCTTCCAACCCCTTCCTGCCTCCTTGTTTCCCTTCTTGCCACCCCAATTCCCGTTCCAGCCTCCTCGTTTCCCCTTTCCGCTCCCCAGTACCCCTTCCCGCCTCCCCGTTTCCCCTTGCCCGCCTCCCCAATTCCCCTTCCCGCTCCCCGTTTCCCCTTCCCGCCTCTCCGTTTCCTCTTCCCGCCCCCCATTACCCCTTCCCGCCTCCCCGTTTCCCCTTTCCGCTCCCCATTACCCCTTCCCGCTTCCCCGTTTTCCCTTCCCGCTCCCCATTACCCCTTCCCGCCTTCCCGTTTCCCCTTCCTGCCTCCCCAATTCCCGTTCCCGCCTCCCCGTTTCCCCTTCCCGGTCCCGACTTCCCCTTCCCGCCTCCCCGTTTCCCCGTCCCGTTCCCGTTTCCCCTTCCCGCCTTCCCGTCTCCCCGTCCCGCTCCCCGTTTTCCCTTCCCGCCTCCCCGTTTCCCCTTCCCGCTCCCCTTTTCCCCTTCCCGCTCCCCGTTTCCTCTTCCCACCTTCCCGTTTCCCCTTCCCGCTCCCCATTACCCATTCCCGCCTCCCCGTTTCCCCTTCCCGCTCCCCGTTTCCCCTTCCCACCTTCCCGTTTCCCCTTCCCGCTCCCCATTACCCATTCCCGCCTCCCCGTTTCCCCTTCCCGCTCCCCGTTTCCCCTTCTCGCTCCCCACTACCCATTCCCACCTCCCCGTTTCCCCTTCCCGCTCCCCATTTCCCATTCCCGCCTCCCCGTTTTCCCTTCTCTACTCCTCAATTCTCGTTCCAGCCTGCACGTTTCCCCTTCCCGCTCCCCATTACCCCTTCCCGCCACCCCCCTTCCCGCCTCCCCATTACCCCGTTTCCCCCCTTTCTCCCTCTCGTTTTGCCCCCTTCTCCCTCTCGTTTCCCCGCCCCCCCCTCTCGTTTACCCCCCTTCCCCCTCTCATTCCTCCCCCTTCTCCTCATTATTTTCCCCGCTTCTCCCTCTCATTTCCCCCCTGCATTACCCTTCCCCTCCCTGCATTACCCTTCCCCACCCTGCATTACCCTTCCCCACCCTGCATTACCCTTCCCCACCCTGCATTACCCTTCCCCTCTTTTTCAAGATCCTCCTGCCTTTCCTTCTTTTCCCCTCTCCTGCTGCCTTTCTCTCTTTTCAGCTCTCTTCAACAAGTGTTGAACAAATTATGACCAGCTAGAGCAGAGGACAACCCTCCATGTATCTTGATTTGAGTACAACACACGTCAGATGTCGCATACAATGCTGTGCTGTGCCTATGTGCATCATGCAAGGATGCTATACGCAAAGAAGGGAAGTTGTGTCTAGGTACAGTCATCAACATTTTCAATGTATTATGACATGCTATGCTATGCTATCAATTCACTTGATTGATACGCTAACAGCACACACAAGCTGGAACTTCCTGCCTATTGATTTGGTTTCACTAAGCTGCAAAGAGCAGCACTCAGAATGAGAAGGCCTGATGTCCTTCGTGTTGTGCTGTTGAAAACAAACAAACAAACAAACAAACAAAATTATAGACAAGTGCAAGCTGCAGAAGAAACAGAGGGTAAGCTGGAGGGGAAGGGAGGGGAAGCAAAGGGGGAGCAAGGGTTGCACGGGGGAAAGTAAGGAAGGGTAAGCAAAGGGGGGAGGAGGGGAAGGACTGTGCAGCATGTGAGGGTGCTTCAGCTCCCTCACGCGCGCCAGCAGCATGAGCGCACTCACCTGCCGGCAGGGTGGGGGCAGGGAAGGGTAAGGAGGGGGGAAATGAGGGAAAGGAGAGGGGGGAATGAGGGGAGGGAGAGGGGAAAATGAGGGGAAGGAGGGGTAAAGGAGGGGACGGAGAAAGGGAGAGGAGAGGACGGATAAGGGGAAATGTGGGAAACAAGAGGAACGAGAGGATGAAATGAGGGGAGAGGGGGAAACAAGGGGACGGAGTAGGGGAAATGCGAGAAACGAGATGGGGAGATGAGGGTAAGGAAAGGGTGAATGAGGAGAAGGAGAGGGCGAAATGAGGGGAAGGAGAGGGGGAAATGAAGAGGGAGAAAGGGGGGAAGTGAGGGTGAGCAGGGGGAGAAATGAGAGGGAGCAGGGGGGGAAATGAGAGGGAGCAGGGGGGGAAATGAGAGGGAGCAGGGGGGGAAATGAGAGGGAGCAGGGGGGGAAATGAGAGGGAGCAGGGGGGGAAATGAGAGGGAGCAGGGGGGGAAATGAGAGGGAGCAGGGGGGGGAAATGAGAGGGAGCAGGGGGGGGAAATGAGAGGAAGAAAGGGGGAAAATGAGGGGGAGAAGGGGGGGAAACGAGAGGGGGGAAAGCGGGGAAATGAGAGGGGGAAGGGGGGAAATGAGAGGGAGAAGTTGGGGAAATGAGAGGAGGAGGGGAAACGAGAGGGGGAAGGGTGGGAAACGAGAGGGAGGAGGGGGAGAAATGAGAGGGGGAAGGGGGGAATACGAGAGGGGGAAGGGGGAGTTACGAGAGGGAGGAGGGGGGGAAATGAGAGGGAGAAGGGGGGAAAACGAGATTGATAAGGGGGGGAAACGAGAGGGGGAAAGGGGGAAAATGAGAGGCGGAAGGGGGGAAAACGAGAGGGAGAAAGGGGGTAAACGAGAGGGAAGAGCGGGGGAAACGAGAGGGGAAGGGGGGGAAACGAGAGGCGGAAGGGGGGGAAAGGAGAGGCGGATGGGGGGGGAACGAGAGGGAGAAGGGGGGGAAACGAGAGGGTGGAGGGGGGAAACAAGAGGGAGGATGGGTGGAAACGAGATGGAGAAGGGGGGGAAACGAGAGGCAGAAGGGGGGAAAATGAGAGGCGGAGGGGGGGGGGGGGGGAACGAGAAGGAGAAAGGGGGGAAACGAGAGGGAGGAGCTCCGGGAAAATGAGAGGCGGAAGGGGGGGAAATGAGAGGAGAAGGGGGGGAAACGAGATTGAGGAAACGAGAGGCGGAAGGGGGGGAAATGACGAAATAAGGTTATGAGCCAAGCAGCGCGTGAGGCAAGTATTTTGCCGATTCGCAGGTGAGGCATGCGGCGGGTGAGGCGAGAAGCGGGTGACGCGCTAAACGGATTTCGCGAGCACCGTGTTTGGCGAGGAGCGGGTATCGCGATCAGCGGGTTTCGCCATCAGCGGGTTTCGTGATGCATGATGGCGCTAGGCGAGAAGCCCGCAGGGTGGAACGCGACGACTCACTGAATAATTCATCGCTGGTTCGACGATTGCATCGCGGCGAGCCAGCATAATGCAACTCGTCGAGGCGCTCGACCGTGTGCCGCATGGCATCGCTCGACGAATGCTACGCGACGGCCCATCAGAATGCAAACCGCCCCTGCAGCTAAAGGTTTTTGCATAGCCCCGTGTCCCCTTACCACGGGCGATTAGGTCAGGGTGAGTAGTTGCGCTGCTAGTTCTATCAAGGCCTTTCCTAGTAATTAGTTGCTTCAACTTGTGTTTGTGAGTGTCGCTCAAGGGTTGAGTGACGGGAGAGTTTCTCGTGTTCCCACCCCTCAATCCTCCAAATTTTCGCAACCCCTCTCGCCAAGCCCCTTTCTTTTCGTTGGGGCGAAATCTTGGTGGCTACTGTTCCACCACAAACAATACTTTCAAATGTATATGAAAGCTTTAAAACTGCGATCTACATACTTCGAGGGACAGGCCCTGGTTTATCACTTGAAAATAGGGTAGCATTGTCCCGTCGGAGAAACGAACAATCGATGCGGAAGGAAGGAGGGGGATGGGCGCAGAAATTTCCGCTTGGTTGTTTGTGTTCTGCGCAGAAATCTCCGCCTTTCCGCGGATGTGGGCCCCCCAAAGCGAGCTCACTCACGAAATTGACTGCACTCGTCAGCGGGGTGCGAAGTCCTCGCACAATTCGCTCTTCAATCAATCAATCGACAAACGCGAAAGGGTGTGCACCTAGATTACCCCCAAAAACCCATTTTAGTATGTAGACCGCAGCTTTAAGATGTATCCCGCCCTACACATCTATATCAGTAAAGGTGAGGATTCGCCCAACTTTCGTCAGACAGGTTCCACCTCATTCGCCAAATCTGCACCCTACTAGTTCGTAGGATCTCACGGGCAGGGGAATAGACGGCACCAACAACCACCCACTACCTCAATAACTAACAAACGTGATTCAATCCAACTAAATTGGATTGGTTCGGATCAGCAAGGACCGACCAGGCCGAGCCGTAGATCGCCTCCAGAAGCTCAGAACGCAATATGAATTTCCTCGTTTTCTGCACACCCACAAAGCACATGTAGCGCACTTTCCATATGGCTCCCGTTCAGCTTTGACAATTGCTCTTACCTCACCCAATTACCGTTTTTACCCAGCTGATAGACACTCAAGAGGCAAACTGTGCACAGTGAGAAGTTCTGATTTATACCTACCAGTACTACTCCTATTCTCAAGTTGACACTCCCAATGCATGGTACGGTTGTGGCAGGGGTGAATGTGGGTAAAACAGTCGGCCATCAATTTGCACGGGCACTAAAACAATTGGGGAAACAAATAGACTTCCGAGTTGTTGGGCTGAGTGCCCTTTAGGATCTTTGGTAGAGTTAAAGTCTGAGTAAAGTGATGTAGTAGCGGAAGCGTTTTAAGTAAGGTATTTAAACCACCTTGCGCTAGTATGTGAGGGCAAAGTAAGTTGATTAAAGCTGTAAGGAAATTCCCTTTTCCTTACTTCGCGTCCCTGCTCAACGCGTACATCACTGTAGCACCTCAGTCAGCACCGTTACCACTCGCGACCATCGCATCATTCATCATCCCGCCCTTTTCGCACATCGCATCCCGACCTCACGGCTCGGCTGGTAACCCGCGCTCCGGGCCTACGCTTCGACACTTTCCCAACCTCAGTCCCAGGCTCGTCGCGCGACCATTACCGTACCGTTACCACTATAGTTTCGCTATATAATGTTCGCTCATGCCTTCGCTCAATTGTATTCTTGCTTCGATAGTGCAATTCTCGTTCGTTCACCCAATTGCACTCGTAACACTTGGTATTCAGAGCCTACGATCTCATCTCGGACCGCACCCACACCTTCGCTTCCCACTATCTCAATTTTTGGGGGGGGTAGACGTCTCTCAGCGACACAGCACCGCCGCTCGTAGTGCTCTCTCGAAAGCACGCACGGCCACGACCGAGGCTCTCGCTGAGCTTGCCCGACACCCCCGCCATGGCCGATTTCAATCTCGACCAACGCATTTGGTGACCAACGCTGGGGGGGGTCAGCCCATCGTCATCTCATCCGGCACACCAACGCAACACAACAGCACGGGACAGCGCTCAGGCGCAGCCAGTGACGGCGCAGCCCAACCGATGCCCGACATGGGAGGGAACAGGAGCGCATTAAGCCCACGGGAGCCCCGAGAAGCCCGTCGGCACGTGGAGTTTGCGGCGACAAGTGGCGAGAACGCCGTGATGGCCCCAATGCCACTCAAGCCGCAACGCCCGCCCTGCTTCGACCCAAGCCAATGCGGCGGCCCGACAGTTCAATCGTGGGTCTTCACGATGAATGTGTTTTTCGACGCCAACTACGTCGAGTCGGACGCCGCCAAGATCCGGTATGCGGTTTCACTACTCAGGGGCCCCGCCATGGACTGGTGGCGAGTCATTGTGACGTCGCCGCGCGCCTACGAGCCACCGTCGCACGAGGAAGGGCCCTCGGGTCCAGCTGTTACCTGGAGTTCGTTCTGCGAAACCGCTCAATACAGCACGTGGGATGCGTGGTGCGCAGGGCTTCGGGCGCGCTTTGAGCCGATCGCGGCCTCGATTTCGGCGCGTCAGAAACTGCGCACTTGGCGCCAGCTCGGGTCAGTTCAAGACTACACCAGCGGGTTCCTCGCACTTTGCGAACAGGTCGGCTACATGCACGAGGCGGAGCGGGTGGACCGTTACGTCGGAGGGCTGAAGCCGGACATCTCGCACGAGATAATGCTACGCGGGCTCTCGAATTTCAACGAGATCCTCGCGCTCGCCGAGAAAATCGATATCCTACGCCGACCAAGACCGGGGTCCTATTACGGACATCGTCCTCGGGGACCGACCGAGCACGCCACTGTACATGCCGTCGCAGCGAATGCAGCTACCGCGCCGTTTAGAGGGCGCTGCTTTGCTTGCAACCGGCCGGGCCATCGCAAGAGCGAATGTCCAGAGGAGCTGAGGCGTCGAGGAGCAGAGCAGGGGAGGGAGTCTCAGAGGCAGGGAAACGCCAGCAGTCAGTAGAAATTGGGCCAACTACTGACGAGACTGCCTGCTCGCCCAACCACACCGACCCTCACCGAGTCACAGTACCGATTCACGCCATCGATCGGGCTCGGATGAATAAGGAGGGTACAGCGACGGATTGCCCGGTACTGATCTACGGGAAAATACAGGGAGCAGCGGTGAAGATCTTTATTGACGGAGGAGCAAGCCACAGCTTAGTTATGTCAGATTATTATAGCTGATGCATGTTTGTAGGCTATAGTGGGGTAGCACATATGGGGTACAGTTTGATAGGGTTGTATTTGTACCCAACTCTGACTTAGTCCATTCATTCCTCTGCTCATAGTTTCACATGGTATAGAGCTAGGTCCCTCCAGGACCGAATTTTTTTTGGGCCCACCGAAGCGCGCCCCGAGGCGCGCCCTTTTTTGTTTTAGCGACCCTTCGGGTCGCCCTCTCCCCTGCGGCCCCGCCGCCTGCCCCTTACGCGGCCCCGCGCTGGCCCCTTACGCGGCCCTGCGCCGCCGGCTCCTACGCGGCCCCGCGCCGGCCTCTTACGCGGCTCCGAGCCGGCCCCTTACGCGGCCCTGGGCCGCCGGCTCCTACTCGGCCCCTTACGCGGCCCCGCGCCGGCCTCCTTCTCGGCCCCGCCGCCGGCCTCCTACACGGCCCGCCGCCGGCCTCCTACTCGGCCCGCCACCGGCCTCCTACACGGCCCGCCGCCGGCCTCCTACTCGGCCCGCCGCCGGCCTCCTACACGGCCCCGCCGCCGGCTCCTACTCGGCTCCGCCGCCGGCCTCCTACACGGCCCGCCGCCGGCCTCCTACACGGCCCGGCCCCGGCTCCTACTCGGCCCGCCGCCGGCCTCCTACTCGGCCCGCCGCCGGCCTCCTACTCGGCCCGCCGCCGGCCTCCTACTCGGCCCGCCGCCGGCCTCCTACACGGCCCCGCCGCCGGCTCCTACTCGGCCCCGCCGCCGGCCTCCTACTCGGCCCGCCGCCGGCCTCCTACTCGGCCCGTCGCCGGCCTCCTACTCGGCCCGCCGCCGGCTCCTACTTGGCCCTACCGCCGGCCCTACCGCCGGCCTTGTCCCGGCCCCGCCGCTGCACTGCAGCCGAGCCGCCCAGCAGCAGCCGAGCCGCCCAGCAGCAGCCGAGCCGCCCAGCAGCAGCCGAGCCGCCCAGCAGCAGCCGAGCCGCCCAGCAGCAGCCGAGCTGCCCAGCAGCGGCCGAGCCGCCCAGCAGCAGCCGAGCCGCCCCGCAGTAGCCGAGCCGCCCCGCAGTAGCCGAGCCGCCCGGTACCTGAGCAGCCCGAGCCGCCTGAGCTGCACGAGCAGCCCGAGCCGCCTGCTGCTGACCTACCCGACTCTCCCATCCCGGTGAGACTTTCAGCTGCTACTATGGCCACCCCCAATGTTCTCACTTTTGACGCTGAGGGGAGGGCCATTGACTTTGCCGTCTGGATCGAGGATCTGCAGCTGTACTTACTGTGTGATGCGGTAGATGAGGTCTCTCTCTTTGACTTTGTCTCTGGCGCTGTCCCTGCCCCGCCTGCTGATGCTGACTCTGCCGTTCGCTCCAAGTGGGCGACCCGCGATGCTGCTGCACGTCTTGCTGTGCGTCGCCACCTCCCTTCCTCTGAGCGTGCCCACTTTAGTCAGTGCAAGACCGCTCAGGCCTTGTACGACGCTGTAGTTGCGCGCTACTCCTCCCCTTCCTCCGCTACCCTTAGCCGCCTCATGCTACCGTTTCTCTTCCCTGACCTCGCTTCCTTTCCCACTGTCGCTGACCTCGTTACCCACCTCCGCGCTAGTGACACCCGCTACCGCGCTGCCCTTCCTGCTGAGTTCCGCGCTGCGAACCCTCCTCCCATGTACATCACTCTCTACTTTCTCGTCACCCGTCTTCCTGAGTCCCTTCGTGTCGTTAGGGACCAGTTTCTCTCTGTCTGTCCCACCACTCTCACTGTCGACCTCCTTGAGGAGTCCCTGCTAGCGGCTGAGAAGAGTATTGTCGCTGTAGGGGC